AAGGAAGGAAGGAAGGAAGGAAGGAAGGAAGGAAGGAAGGAAGGAAGGAAGGAGGCAGACAGGCAAAAGAAAAGAAATATATAAAGTTATACCATTCTGATAGATTCTACACATCCCTTCCTGCAACATTGATAAGCATCAGGATTTGGACAGCTCCTAAGGTTAATGTGTCATATTTAGTCATCTAAAGTACAATGGTCCATGAGTTCAAGTCCTCAAAGAGGGTTTGAGCTCCATAGAGTATGTGTACAGTATGTCTGACAAGTCCCAATATAGGATGAAATGGGTCACATACTGCCTCCTGGTAACTAATCCCTACAATGATAACCATGATAGTATCACACAAAGGAGCCCAGACCTTTCATCTTTTTAAATCTACAGTGGTCTCTTTATTACTATTGAGTGTCTTTATGTTGCATTGTGTTTTATATTTTTATTTTAGTATACAATGTTATAAGCTGCCTCTCTTCCTCCCTTGCATTCCCCATATAATTAAGTCAGGCTTAACTGTGCTGTTTCCATAAGTTATGGAAATCACTGATAAGTCTCATGCTATGTCGAATGATATGGTATGGAAAAGGAAGAAATCAGAACTTGAGATACAGCTGCCATTTTTGGCAGCAACTCTGGGTTGCGAGTTACATGTAATCCTACTTTCACAGAATTTTTGGGCCCCTATTTTAGCTGCTTCAATTGAACCATTGTTGAATTAAAACAGGAAACTCAAAGAATATGCTCAAGAGATTGATATACTAAGCCCATCAGATTCTTCAAAGGGCTGCTGTAATTTTGTGTAGTTTCAGAAAGCTTCTAGTTTTGTACTCATGAGGCTATCTGAATTATTTGGGAACTTTTTGAGGCTATTCACAGCTTTCAAACTTGAGATGTTACTAGAGATTCCTTCTGAAAGCAATCGTTCCAGAGGGAACAAAAAAGGGCCATTTACATTATCCTCCTGGGCATCAAGTCACTGAATAGCAAAGTATATTGATTTCACTCCTGATGTTTCACTACTGCTTGGGCAGTTATTGTCAGCATCAATAAGACTAACCTGAATTCATTGATAGGTTACTTCTTACCAGATGGTCAGATTAATTTGTCCAGGTCTGCTGATATACCCTCCTCAGTACCTGAGGGTTGCTTGCAAAGC